CCTGCCGCTACGTGAAATCTGCCTGAAAAAAAAAGTGAAATAGAAAAGCCACAAACCCGGAAACTTACCGCCATTAGAAGCAAGTTCGCAAATTAGATGCTGCAAGCGAGCGGCCAGCTCTGTCGTCAGCACAGGAGAGGATATACCTGAAAGGTAGAAGGCATTTTCGTTTTTGATAACCGGTCATGGTAATAACTTAGGTGTAATTAATGGCACAGCTATATCGACCACCTCTCGAGTTACCTGATTTTCGCAATTACTTGTGACGCAATCGCACAGGTGAGTCACCATCATTATCGTATCAATAAAGCGGGCATAAGCAATATGAAGTTGAAAATGAAAAGTCGATCAGGATACGGCCAAGCAATTCGGGAAGATATTAAAATTGTATTTTGCGTGCTGCACCTATTTTGACACCCGTGCATGCAACCCACCAGTGGAAACTTGTTCAGTTACTGCGCTGCACAGAGATAACACTTCCTTCTCCCATTATGGAATCTCCCGAGCTTTGCCTAAAGTCAAACATATATTCAGCGGTCTCGAGCCCAACAATAAGAGAGATCTCATGTTGCTACTGTAGCCACCCATCAGGAGTAACATTTAAGTTCTGGTTTAATCATGTGATAAAGACCACTTTGTTTTGGTGAAGATAGTGTGAATGGTACATTATCGTATGGAAGGTGAGAATTGTTCGTCCTTCCCGCGGCGGCAGTCTCCAGTTTCACCTTCCTCAATTAAACAGTTTTGAGTAGTGTTCGGATTTCCTGCAAGGAACGCGACAGTTCGATTCCTTCCTCAGTGGTAGTCTACAACTCCACCTTCCCCGATTGTCAACTCAGGAACTTATGAACAAGTTGATTTTAGCCTCTTTTATAACCATTTGGTGTCTGTCTGAATAAACTCTATATTAAAAAAATCCATTGGATTTCTACCTCGATGAATATCTGAGGGGGGCTAACGGAGACTCTAGTGAATTTACAGTGTGCAAATACAACCAGAAGACAGCAAACAACGATGTCGAAAGTCTGAATACCAACCCAACATGGAAGGAAACCACATTATCTGAGAACCCCATGTGCTCGCCTATTGTACTACTGATCTTCCGAACAACCGTGCAATTTTGAAAGACAACAACCTGATGAATTGTAGACATGACGCTCAGTGTCACTAAGTACAGTTAGGTGAATGTATACAGAGGTAGATTACAGTTGCGTGGACTAGCGTAAGTTATAATGGATTTTAAAAGAATCCACTGAAGCAGGATGTATTATGAGGCTGGACGGAGTTAGAATAGATCCAAATTGTTATGCAATAGGGAGAACAGGTAAAAAAAAATTTTGGAATATGTCTGCGTGAATTAGCGCCCACATTTAGTAAAACATTATTTAGCCTCAATTAATTTATACAAAGCAACCAATGGCCTGTTTTAACCAGTTGCTTTGAGGTTGCATAGCTGAGAAGTAGTGGACGTCAGATAAGCTGAAATTTTCAATTAACTCATAATGTGTATTTGATGCCTGATCTACTGAACCCACCTTCGGGACTGATGCGATTTCGCAAAAACATCCTTTTAAGGGTGGAGGGCGTTGAAGGATTTCGGCTATCCTCGCTAGTGTCATGAAATAAATCCAGCGGCACGTCAATCAAAAACGATAATTGCACCAAGCACAGAGCACGAAATTTTTCGGCTGACTGCGTCCGCAACACCCGAATTTCAGCGTTTTCTGGCGTGGCACGCAGCAGGCGACCAGCATAGTCCGAGCACAGGGCCGCCGTTATGTCTGGCGTCGCCTTGAGGGGCACAGGTTGCCCCACGGCGTCTTCACTTGACAGGGATGCGTTACTGTTGGGCATGGTTTTCGGAACCACCAGTCGGCAGTGAGACGCGTACGTACTGCGTCATGCTATTTGAATAAGTCTTGGCCAGTATCGATTGTGATGCTTAAGCT